ACCTCTTTCACCACATGTAGCAAAACCACACCACTTCTACTGCCAAACAGGCCTTCTTCAACCTTGGAATGGGATAGAATGGGATGAAAAGCTAAACTTCACCCCTTAGAGAAGAGGACCACTGCTATCATACAATTCGAGCTTCCTAAGACTTAAAAAAATGCTCTGATTTCTAAAACTACAAATAGAGTTATAAGTATAAACACAAACAATTATTCTTTCATTGTATAAAATACTATATATTTGATAAATTCTGTATTGTTTGTGCACTGTATTACAGGAATAAAAATAAAGACTAGAAAGAGCAGCAAAGGACATCAAATGACTGGGTTTTAATTGTTGCCTATTCTAAAATGGTCATAAAATATGACTTTATAGTAAATAGTCCTTATATAGCTCTGTGCTATAACTCAATCTTACATAAACATTTAACCTTGAATTTTAAAGGTGTTCTATTCTTAACACAGGATTATTTGACTTTCTTTGTTACTATAGGATTATGACAAAGTTGAGAATAAATAATTTAATCATTTTCTTAGGGCTGTTCACACCTAGAAAAACTCTTATAATTCAGGTAACTATTACTGAAAAGATAAAACAGATTAAAACCCAAACGTTGGTTTCTACAGAGGTACCTCACTCTTCATTGAAACCATGAAAGAAGGGAGAATTCAGTGATTCAAAGAAAACAAAAGATTGTAAATGAGAATTTAAATGTATCTACTTCTTTTTTCTGCTAGAATTCTAAATTCCCAATTATCCTGTCCTTTTTCACATAAAGCTCCCACAGAGTCAAATCTATAGGGGGTAAGTGGCAGGAAACCTTTGTGGTCATGAGAAAAACTGGACAATAATTTATGAGGTTGAACAATCACGGAAAAAGAAAGAAATCGAAAATCTACTGTGACTATTTCAAAGTCTTTGAAGATAATGAAAGATATGTTTAGCCAACCCAAAGTTGAATCCTCAAGCATCTAGCTCCCTGACAGCAGAAGTAGTGCCACTAGGGAAAACACTCCTCCTCTCTGAAAAGGCTCAGAGCTTCCAGTTACTGGCAGTATTTTCTATGATGTTTTCAACCCTTGATCACTGACCATGCCCCTCTTCAGGGGTTAATGTTATCAAAGAGACCAGCATCCTTCTAAAGTGGTATTTTTCCCTTCAGTACTATTCTTTCCAGATATAGCATAGAGTTGGACTGGCTCACTGCAGTGCAGATTTCTTCTCCTGGAAGAGGTGGGATATAGTATTCATCAGACTTGCCCAGAGCCTTGTTGTAAAGGGGAGAGACTGTATGGTAGAATGTACAAACCACACTGTGGCAGGGGAGGAAGGAGTTAATGATCTGACTCTGACACACAGCCCTACATGGGCTGCAGGCTGCTTCACCCCATAACACCTGAGAGAAATACTCCAGATGGAAAGAATATCAAAGAGGCAAACAGGAAATAAAAAAGAGGCAGCAGATAACACAGGGCTGGTTGCTTTGGAAGGGAAAGGATTTATCTGCTAAGTTAGTAAGTAACTGGATCCTAAGGGTCTAAGAAATGACATTTTTCTGGAAGAAAGAAAAATGGAGTCTATCCTTGAGGGGTAGAGAAACTCAGACTACATTTTGTTCAGGTACTCAGTAAGTAGATGACCTTCCTAAGTCTACCTGAGGCAACTTATTGTTTTTTCCCCTTTGATTAGAATTAAAAACTATTTGTAAGCCCCCATCCACAGGGAAGGTCTAGAAATAGGCAGAGAGGAAGAGAGTTATCTGGCTTCTCAGGAACTGATTTTGCTTTGTATCTAACTTTGGGTCCTGATTTGTTGATACGTGAATATTATTGATGAATGGGGTGGCTGGTTAGGCTTCTTCTAATTTTTCCTGATATGTGTTTTCTTAGTGACTTTTGCTAAACTTTCACTGAATTGGTAATTGTACAAGTGGGTTATGCATATTGGGCGCAGCATAGTTAAGGCTACATTAGGGAGTTCAGTTTTAATGGGAGCTTTAAACCTTCAGTTTGTAAGTCATATTGAAAGGGTAAAAAGAAAAAGCTAATCTTTGAGCACCATTTGCATTTTTCATGGTAGGTTGACAGAAGAGTTGATAAGAATAAGTTTTAAAAATCACCCCTTCTGGCAACATTTTTACTGGATTGTTTTTCTTTGTACCTCTTTTTCATTCTGAGAGTTGCATTTTGGCTATGTTCTTCCATCTCATCTGCTACTTCCTTAGAACAGTAGTGGTTAGCTATAAAGAATTAGTTCTTTTTAGCCATAATGGAAAACAAGTATGTCAAGGCAAACCTACTGAATTTTGAGGCACAGACTTCCTCAGCAAATACCTCTGTGGCCTATGGAGACTCCAATGCAGTAACTTAAGAGTGACCTCAGCACTATTAAAACAGAGCAACTTATGAAAAGGTATGTGATGTGCTGATCTCTTAATATCATTGATAAAAGCACATTAGATCACTGTCAAGTAATTACTGTTGGGAATGTAAGTGAAAGCCTTATGGAGAAGTGAATTCTCATAATGCTGTAAGCAACATGAAAGCAGAAAGGAATGCATGTCTTTCCCCTTAATTTCCATGCTTTAAAGGCTTTGAGGTGTCCTGCTGCAAACTTAACTGTCCCTGAACATAGCTACTATTTGTTAATAAACAGCAACAACTATGGAAAAGATGAGCTTGGAATATGTGGCTTCCTGCGTCCTAGAAATGCATGTTTTCCCAAAGCTAATAGGTATTCTGCTGGGAATCTGCTGTGGAACACTGCTTGTCTTTGTGCTGTGGAACAGGAATGCTAAACGGACTAAGAAGCAAAATGTACTGTAAAATGTGGGGGACTTGAGAGGTAAGACAGTGAAACATTCTGTCAGGCAACTCAAGGCAAGGTAAGCCCAAAACCTTGTAACTTGGCCAATTATTCAATGAAATGCAAAGAGAATGCAATACTGGGGTATGTTTCATGAGTTTTGTTGCAGAGTAGTTCAGCTGCTGTGTTTGGAACAAACTGCTTTGAGTGGCAGTTTTATACCTAGTCAGCCTCAGGACTCCAGGTCCTGCAAGGATCATTGTTAACTCCAGATCATTCAGCTGTGAATGCAGTTTTCTTAGCTGGTTCGATATCCAGAAATAGTATGGAACAGTGAATATTACCTTAATGATCTGAAAGTAGACGCCATTGAGACAGTCCTTCAAGGAGCTTCCCTCTCCCCACAAACACCATGTCAGGCTTGTAGAATTCAGCCAGCTGCCTTTCATTTAGCTTTTCCTGTCACAGTCAGGAAAACATCTTTCACTACTGTAGCCAAGTTTCCTCTTCCCACCTACCATGACCTGGTAGCAGAACCATTAACTTCACTCTGAGGGAAGATATTTTCCCCAAAATATGGGAAGGTATGTTGCTTCCTCTAGCTCATGGTCATCACTGTGAGGAGACATGAGTTAGCAGTCCCTGGTGGTGGCTCCCAGCTGCCTCTCTATCTCCTGGGGGCGTGGGGTGTATATATCCTTAGGGGCAAGGAGTGTAGTGTCTGGGTCTGGCAGTGACTTTCAGCTGTTTCCTTCCCCATGGCTCTCCTGTATGACCAAGAGGCTTCTGTCAATGCTGTCTGTTCCCTGTCCTGAAGTCTGACAGCGAAGGGATCGAGGGTATTGGCCCTCCACAGTGCGGTGTTGGAGGTGAATTCTGAACTTAGCAGTTAGCTTGGTCAGCACTGGGAAGATGGTGAGGTCAATTGTTTAAAGTGATGGCTTCTGAGACGCTGGCCCAGTACAGTGCCCTTGAGTAGCGGTTGCAGACTTCCTTCTGCAAAGGGGAAGGTTCAGGTGCACTTGGCACCATCGTTCGCGAAGCCGGGCAGGGGTATGAGTTGCAGGTGGAGAATCTGTTTCCACGAGGCGCTTCCTTGTGCCACAGCACTGATTTTGAAGAGGGAAGGTACCATGTTACCAGGACCCTGTAGTTCCTGGCTTCCCCCAAGAGGCCGCCCTGGATGCAGATGAGGTTTTACCTGGGAGAGAGCTCGATGGCTATTTGCCATGGAAGCATCCACAGTTACCAAAGCAACTCCTGTGGTCTGAACAGTCCTGAGGCGGGCAGGAGTTGCGATTTCGCCAGCTCTTTCCCGCCTGCCTCCCCCTCTCTCCGGCAGAGGAGATGCACGGGGCTGCGGGGCCCCCGTGGCTCTGGGTCCTGAGGAGGCAGCCGGCTGGACCGTGACTAGGTCCGCGAGCTTCTTGCGAGGGGCCGAGAGAGCGGCCGGACGGGCCCGGCAAGGCGCGGGGCAGGTCTCCTTCTCCGTGGCCGTTGGGGTTCGTCCTGCCCGCCCTCGCTGCTGCCTCCCCCCCCCGGGAGAGCGCCGTTTAGTCTCCCAGCCGGCGGCCCAGAGCTCAGCGCTGCTCGCCCTCCTCCTCCCCGCGCCGCCGGCCGCCGGGCCCCCGCCCGCGGCCAAACCGTCAACTCCAACGGCCACTTTCAGAACCAGCTCTGGACAGCGCCTTCCCCGCCCACCCCCTTTTCCGGTTCAGTATCTCCCATTGGCTGGACTACAACAGCGAGCTGCACCTCTGATTGGCCCAGCTGACTGCCACTCAGAGCTGTGGGGTTGTTTTGAGGTGGGGCACGGTTTTGCTCGCGGCTGAAAACTCTTTGAAACGCTCGTTCGTGGGTTTTTTAAACCGGCGTCTCGCACCACCTCTGTCAGCCACTCATTGGCTGAACGATCAGGCTCGCAGCTCTTCGATTGCAACACTTACCCTGTCAATCATATCCCATCCTGAGGGCGGGCCTCGGGGGAGGCGGGGAAGAGAAAGGGTGTGGCTTGAAGGCGGGTGGGGTTTAGGCGACCAGGTGGGAGGGAGTGGGTGTGGCTAAAGCCGAGGCGTGGCTGGAGGGGGTTGGGCGAGAGGCGTGGTGATTGGCGTGGTGGGCGTGGCTCCGGGGAGGGGGCGGGGCTGGGCCGGGGGAGCCGGGCGGAGATTGCCCTTGTGTCTAGAGCTCGAAGCGGCGGGTAGCGGAGCAGGCTTCCCGGGAACCAAGGCAGGCGAGCGCGGCTGGCAGCCTCCTCCGCGCCCAGTCCAGAGCTGGGGGGGGGCGGGACGACGTGTGCCCGGCACCGCTGCACGGGGGGGACCTGCCCAGCGCCAGAGGAGGAGGGAGCCGCCTCACCACCCGCCCCCGCGACCCTGGTCCTCCTCCTCACCCCACTGGATACAGCGAGGCAGAGGGAGACACTGCGGCGGCGGCGGGCGGCGGCGGCGGCGGAGGCGGCTCCTGCTGGGGGACAGAAGCGCCCGGAGACAGGCGGCGGAGGCTGCGGGAATCTCTGCCTGGCGCCCACCCAGCCCGAGGGAAGCCCCCCAGGATGCGGCTGAGACCCAGCGCCCTGCTGCGCTTCTACAGCCTCTGCGGGCTCCTCATACAAGGTACCGCCCCCAACTCCGTCCCGAGGCCCCCCCGCCGCGGGGGTGGGGGCAGCCGGGGGGACCCCCCGCCTTCCCCTGCGTCCCCTTCGCCGCTCCTGGCCCCCGGCCTCCCGCACTCACTCCTGCCGCGCTGTAGGGATGCGAAGCGCCTCAGGAGCCTTAATCCTCCCCCCCCCTTCCCCTCCCCTCCCCCACCAGCCCTTCAACTCCCTGTAACCTCCCGCCTCGGCCACCCCCTCGCCCCCCGGCAAATGTGCCTCTGGAAGTGAGAGGGGGCCGCCGCAGCCGCGTCCCTGCCGCGGGAGCGTGGCTCTTCGCGGCGCCTCATTGGCATGGGCGAGAGGCAGAAGAGCGAGTCGGTGCTGGGCTCATATGCAGGAGGCGAGAGGATTTAAAATATATATATATAGATATATAAAAATCTGGAGCAAACCCAGCTTTCCGAAACTAGGGTAGCTCTTGAGGAGCCCCGTTTAGCTGTGCCACGCATCCTGCAGCTACTTTCCAGACTCGGCTCTTTGGGGTGGGATTTCTCCCCCTCGCCTCCTTCCCCCGTCTCGCCTTCATTAGCAAGAGCCTTCCAAGTGAAATGTAAAACCGCTGTGTGAGTGCAGTGGAGGGAGATCTACAGGATACTATTATCGTGCAAATGACTAGTGAGTGAGGGGTGGGAAGAGAAAGCCCTCCCAGCTCCCGAGACCTTGTCTTATTTTGGGGGAAGGCAAGAGGAATATAAATGGCACTGGATGGAGAAACCGGCGGAGAGAGTTGGCTCCTGCTGTTGTGGGGAGGAGGATGTGGCCGTGGTGCTGGAAGGAGAGTAACGAGGATCGATCTCTTTCTCCCCGGCTGCAGCGTGGGGGAGTCCGGGTTTGGTCTGGTCACCCCCCCCCCCTCCAGCTGATTGGGGACGAGAAGTTGCCAGATACCCTAGTGCGTGTGGGTAAAGGAATCCTGAAGTTACCCCCCCGCCACATGCACCCCAGCGGCCTTGGCAGGATTTAAATGAGGTCAATGAGCCGTCATACAGCAACTTCTTCGCCTGCACCTTTTCTTTGGGATGGCTGCGGGGAGAGAAACATCCCTTTCTTATATATGGGGTAAGGGAGGGGAAGAACCAAATGAACTAAGTGACCTTGTGGGATTTTTTTGTTCTTCCTTCCCCTTGTCCCTGTTGCATTTTATAGAAAGTTTTGTATTTTCAAATCTCTCTAGTGAGCATTGTGTGCAGAGGTCTCTCTGAGGAGGTTAAATTACGACCCCCCCCCTCCAGTTCCTCCCCACTAGAAGCAGAAGTAATCTGTGGGGTGGCTGAAATAGACACATCAGTCTATTTCTCCACTGCATTCAGTAACCTGCAGGCAGCATCCACTTCACCTTCTGAGGAAGTTGCATTTTGGTGGCGGTTGATGGGGAGGCGATTAAATTCATTTGGCGATTGCAAATGATGGTTGTATACTGTTGATGATTTTCCTTACCAATCTGTATGAGTTGCCCAGTATCAATGCACAAGGAGCTTCTGTGTTGATGCTATAATACAAGATTTATTGGGGAATGTGCGGCGGGCTGCACCTGGGGGTTGAGGCTCCTGTGTGCCTTTACTTTGTTGCCCTGTGAATTGTCAATTCATTGCGGTGTGGGGGGGGGGGAGAAACGGGACGGGGATGAAGGGGGAAACCTCTCTGGACTGACTGTTCCTCTCGCCAATAAAATCGGTTTTGCTGCTGCCAGAGGAGAATTTGATTTTTTTCTTAAGATGCAATCGGATGCATTTGGTGCATCACGTATGTAAAAGCAAACAGTGATTTTAAAAAAAGTGGTGGCTTTCACAACAGTTTTGGGAGTGTGCCAGGGAAAATGCATCATTGCAAGGAGCTTTGGGGTTAAACAAAAAACAATGCAAGAAGAAAGGTGTAATCCAATTCTACCTGACTGAAAGCAATCAAATCAGGCCTGCCCTTGTGGGAGAGGGAAGGGTTCCCTTCTTACTGCTATCTGGCTCTCCCCCACATTTATAAAATGTCTCCATGTTTTTAACCTCACAGTTAAGATATATTTGGAGAGGGGGTTGTCAGTTTTTATTCAAGTATTCATCTACCTAGCTCTTGATGAGTGCTGCTTCAAAAGGCGTTTTTCCTAAATGCATCTTAAAATGCTTAGGAATGAAAACTATATTTCTGAGCTATGTCTGAGACTTGAGTAATTTACACTATCCTTTGCTGCTTGTGGGTAAGATTGGAGGAGGAAATGATTGAATTTTTGCTAGTAAAAGTCTGTTCTGTACAGTGGTGGCTGAGTTTCCCTGAACATTAAGTTGCTTTAGTCCACCTTATGTTGGTACTTTATAAATTCTGTTTGCTCAGTTTTCCCATTTATTTTGGCACAGCTAGCAGGCACAGTTAAGTTAGACATACTTATTTATTGTTGGCAGCTTCATAGTTGTATGTAAAAGTAGCTTTTTCCTGTTGGCTTGCCTTGTTCCCCAAAGCCGGGTTAGGCAATTCAGTGGATTTGTTAAAGTTTCCTCCTCTTGGTCCTTAGGATATCAGTTTCCCCTAGTTCATTAGATGAATAAAAACTTTGTTCTGTAGATTTGAAACATCTCTGACTTCTGGTTGTGAGGACTTCATGTCAATGAAAATTAAGGTTAAAGACAGTGCCAGGCAGTCAAGCTGATGAGTCCTATATGCGAGTGAGGCATTGCCCAAAAAGCCAGTCAGGAGCCTCACTTTCAAAAGTGGTCCTGGGCACTGATGAATTACTGGAAACAGGAAGATGAGAACATATAATGTTTTTTTCAGCTAGTGCATGGAATAACATTAATAGCAAGCACTTCATTACTTTTTTTGTTTGCTCTGTTCTGAAAGTCCCCTAATAACTGCTTGCTGTGGGAGGGTAGAAATGGTGGTGGGAGAGGGAGTAATAACATGTGGAGGTTAGAAGCAGTTTGTTGGATGAGCTCAGAGATGAGAAACTTTGTTAGTCTGTTCTGCCCTCTCTAGTGGCTGATGCAGAAACAGTAGCTTCTATAGTCTAGAAATCCTAAAAATTTAAGCAGTCATAGTGGTTCTGTAGTGATTGCACTGTGCCTCAGTTCAATTTGTTCACAATACTTGTCACACTCACCTATCTTCTTGCTTTAATTTTTCCACTAATTTAATTTTTCCAGTTTAGTAATATTATTCCCCAAATGTAAAAAGTTTTCAGTGTGCATTTAAAACACCTTGGGAGTTCAAATGATGCACCCTAATTGATTTTACTTGAAAAGCAAACAGTATATTGTAAACACTTACTTCATGTGTGAAGCTGTAATACTAAAGGTGGATTTTTACTGTATTATTTGTATAAAAATTTGGGTTAGGATTATCCCAGAACGTAGCTACTATAGCCCCCTGCTGTGTGATAATGCAAATGGCATCTAATGCCTTAATGTGCTCGGCTTCTGAGAAAACACTGCATAGCATTGTATGTGAAAAAGTACTTTCAATATATCGGTGCTAACACTAGGCAAATGTTTTCAGGGCAGTTTCTATAGTCACTTGAAAATAATACTGAATTGCTGTAACTTAAATGACAGTGGATAGACTACTAACAAGCTTTTTTGTCTGAAGTTGTGATAATTGATACATCTTATTATTGAAGCTGATAGAAAGCAGCTTGCTGTTAAGAACATCTTTATCATGAACCCAGATCTGTTTATAAAAAAGATAAACACATCAATTCCTATATTGACTGACCTAACATGATGATGTGGAAATAGTTATGCTACAATAGTTCATATTTAATTGGGTAGGTAAGTTTTTTTTTTTAATTTATTTGAAGTTTTTTGATGCGAAGTCACTATTCTATATCTGTATATAATGCATATTGCTCATTCAGCTAAGTTAAATTATGTATTACTATAGAATTAGGCAAATCTATAGTATTTAAATATGATGTAAGGAACACTTACCTATTTCCTTGCTACTACTGTTGATCACACAAATGAACTCATAAATGGGTGTCTAAGCACAAGCATATTGGTTCAGCACAAATTGGATTGTTTGACTTGCAGAAACTGTTACAAAGTCTGTTTTGATGCACAGAGAAACAAGGTAACAGATTGTGGGTTTTTGTTTGTTTTGGAAGATAAATACTTCACACATGAGCTGACAATGAATTAAGTCAATAAACATGATGTAGAGCTTGTTATGAATTTGACTAGTTTAACCAAGGTTTCATTGGCTCTTCATCACTACACACTGATGCGTCACACGTATATGTGAAATACTCTTTGGTTAACTTCATGAGATGTGGTCTAAATGTCATTTTAACCTTGTATAACAATATACAATTGCTACTTTCCTCTCTAACACTACATTAAGTAGTGGACCTTCTCTTTCAGCTTATCATAAAGCAAGTGTCCTCACAGTGCAGGAAGCCTCGATCAAGAGACACTGGCTATACATTGTAACAAGCTAAAAGTTCTTTAATTAAAGTACATCAACTGGTTTTTTTGTGGTTTTTTTGGGGGGGGGGGAGTTGAGGGGTTTTTGGCATGCACAGGATGGAGAACTTAAGTCTGTTTGTCTCCATTTCAGTGTTTGCTTTTTTTTTTCCATTATAATATTTACGTTGCAATCCTTACCTGATATTGGATTAAATTCATTGCTGGCAAAGGGATAGGCAACAGCCTTTACTTCAGTAGTTGCACCATTCAAGAGATATATAGTTATATTAAAGGTAAATTCAATATGTTCTGAGTTTCTCTAAATGTTTCTGCATTTGAAATGCAGAAACGTGACATTTTTATGCACAGTTGCTGGAAACATTCTGAGCAATGTTAGTTGATGGCTAATAGAATAGCTGTATAACTAAGAATGTGGTGGCCTACCTTCTAACAGAAAAGCGTAGGCCCTCTTTGAGACTATAGAAGTAACTGGCAGTAACTTTCTGCCTAAGAGTTCTAATACAAATCTTAAAAATCTGACTTCTGAATGGTTTGCATTTCAGAACAATTC